ACCACGTGAACGAAAAATACAGTCAAAATAAAGCGGAATTTCGGAGCCATTTTAGGAAACAGTATATTCATGGTTCATGTTTATGATTAGAAGTCGCAACTGCCCTATCCAAGGGTTGCGGTCTGGACGGTCTCCTTTAGGAATTACTCACACACTGAAATGAGCGAGGCCTCAAGATAGCTGAGATTCGTGTGTGAGCAAAAGCTGACTAGACTGCAAGGATTCCATCATTCTCGGAATATTTTCCTTGTGGTGTGCACGCGTCCCGCTCAGACGTCAAAACGTTTTAGCGCGGAAGCTTGGAAACGACTTTTTGTCGGCAACTCCGAACAGACCGAGTCTCCTCTGACTGCCACATGGTATCTTCTCTTCGGGAAAACTTACAGCGTCGAGGGAAATTGCTGTAAATAGGATCTTAGACACCGATGTTAAGGAATGAACCGGTAGACAAGGTGCGAATTGAAGCGTTCTAATGAGCGTTTCTTAACCAAAAGTTTACGCAGAGTAAGATTCAACTATTTGCAATTCATCAACCTGTCAATATATCCGCCGAAGTCCCCCCAAAAAACTTATCGATTCACATCCTCGGTGACTTAAACGCGGAGGTAGAAAAGTAAGACAACAGACCTGTATAAACAGCGTACGAATTTAAGCATTCTGATAAATGTAAACTACAAACGCTGATGTCGTAGCAAGTAGTTGATTTCAGTAATTTCTCATGCTCCTTCAAGAAATTTTGGTTGGGAAATTAACATGTATCAGAGTGCTTAAATTCGTACCTTGTCTGATAGTCCATTTGGCGAAGTTTCTCTCTCTCAGAGTTGCATGTAGAAGCGTACTTGCGATATGAAATAGAAAATTTCAAGAGAGAACATTCATAACTCTCCTTGAACATAAACACTTTATTGTTGAAATTTTGGCAAGTTTCGAATGTTGATACGGAGTTTTTCCTTGGCATGCCAGTAGGATACGCGAAGTCCGCGCGAGCTTGTCCTACCTATGTAAATGGATAAATTAATTTTTGCAACTTGGCAAGGCTGGTGTAGGTGAATTCTGCCGCATTTAGCTAATTGTAAATCCTACTAGAAGGCCGCAAGGGCCGAAGACAGGCAGCTTCACCGACGACGAGGCGCACAGTGGATCGAGTCAATTAGAGAGGTCGGACATACAATTTTTGACTAAAACTGCAAATTTCGATGTTAATTTCGTCACACTTTAAATTTTAAGGGGTGCCTCTGAAAGGAAATTTTACGAGGAAACCAATGAAACCACCTTTAAAACCTCAAAGCTTCGTATAAACAAGGTTATGAGCGTTTAAAGTTTCCAAATTTCGTCCGACCTCTCCTATCGACATAATCCACTGTGCGGCGTCACCAAGGGTCGGGGGCGGCGACGCAAGCCCGATAAATAATCGACACCTGAGTGTGTCAAAGCTCCTCCTGAACATGGAGCCCTGCGCTCAGACTCCTGAGAACAGGACTTATGGCGATCGTGACTTGCTGAAATCTTACTTAATATACTCAGAATTACTGAAGGCTGCTGCTGCTACGCCGCGCTGTCATCCGTGCGAAAAGGAAGGCAATCCTGTTATCTTAGATTGTACTATTACAGTATAGGTACTTGTATTGATAGCGAAAGTAAAGAAACAAGTATCTAGAATGCAACGTTTCAAAATAACCACTGATTTTTAATTCTTAATTCTTGGTACAAGCGATTCAGGTCCTTGAGACCCAAGGCTGACTATAATTCGATGCAATTTGAGTCAATGTTGGGAGTCCTACGCCTTGAGTCTCTAAGGCAAGGATCGGAGAAAAATTTTGAGGGGTTTTAAAATTTGCACCAAATATTCTGTTCGGAGAAATCAATATTAGTTTCACGCAATAATGTTTTTACTTTGAGAAAAGAAAAAGTGACTAGGAATCAGTAGTCGCAAATTGAGATACGTATTTCTTCACCTTTACTCTGAATTTACTTTTCAAAATTCATAAAGCAAATCAACTTTTTTTTCCAAGTGAAAATAAATGTCCTGGAATCAATAACTTGTTGATAAGAAGGAGCTCATATCATCAATCTTGAAACATATGAAACCTGAAAATGCAGTGAAATACAACAAATAAACATACACGGGGAAAAGATCCCGAAAACGGAAAAAAAGACACGTCACACAATGGCTGGTTAAATGAGTGGGACCGGGGAACTACGGCAATCGGTGTGATACGGTTTTGGTAGTAGTAATAACCACCAAGGTTGTTGTATTATCCATCTTGGTAATTATTGCAACACGTCCCAGTAGCTGGAGCTCTTTTTTAACCAGCCTTTAGTAGTGACGATTATCTTTTTTCTACCATTTACAGTCGAAATGCGCACATTGACATAGTGGTTCATTGGCCATGGCTTAACTTGGCGAAGGTCGTGAACAAACTTTTGAACTACATGGCCAAAAAAAGTTTTTAAAATGAATGAACCAGGGGCAAAGTGCGAATATTCAACAAACAGTTTGATCCCTGAGGTTAACTATTTTTGAGGTGTGCGAAAAATTGGGTGCCATCAATAAGCATGGAAAGCGTTAGGAAATATTATCCAAAGAATAATACTGTATGAGAATGCTGCATTTCGTTGTTAGTAATAACTTAAAAAGAATTAGCAAAGAAAGAGAAAGGTAGTTGATTAGTTTTGGTGATTTATACTCAACGAAAAAGTGGTTAATATCGCCCAGCAACACCAGCTATTTATTTCAAGTGCAAGTATACCAAGAAAGATACAGTCTTAACTTCTGTTTTGTTTCACACAACATTTCAGGGCGATTATTGTAAAAAATGTGGCTGATCCTATCAGAATGAACGTATTTATTGAATATTGAAAGAAGGACTATCTTGATTCTGATTCAAAAGCATTTCTGATTTCAGATTATTACCAGTAGTTTTAACATTTATTCCTTGAATATTTGGTAAAAATATTCAAATAAAAGTTGAACATGAGGGACTTATTAAATGAACCGGTAGAAAGTCCAGCCCCCCCCCCCCCNAGTTTGTTTGGGATACAGCATGAAGAGAAACAGCTTTTTGCTGACGCGCAAAAGCACCGTAGACTCACGGAAATAAATTTTCCCTCAATGCTGCGGTTGATAAACAGAAGTTAAGAATGAAAATAGGAACGATTTGAGAAAATGCAAAAAAGAGGGGGGAGAGAAAGAAAGAGAGAGAGAGAGAGAAAACAAAAAAGGTAATAAAAGAGGAGCAAGATAAACATGGAAAAGCAGAGGAGAGATATATTTAAACAAACGACTGATTACCTAATTAAAATAAAATAATAAAAATAAGGAGGAAATAAAAGAATAGGGCAGAGGAACTCCGAGAGAAGGAGATAAAACGAATACGTTACTGCTGTGACCACAATAAATGTAACATTTTGGTTTTATATCACTCCTCTCCCCTGAATCCAATTTTATTTTTATGTCTGGTACACGGTACCTCTCCAATAAGTTGGATGTACTCGAGTTCTGCCACTTGCCCGAGCAGCATTTTCTTCCCTCCTCGTTTTCGTTCTCGGGTTCTTCTCCTGTTTTACGATATTCATTCCGTTGGAAAACTTCGAAACACCTAGAATGATACCCAGCGACGATTCGAGTCGAGGGAACAACTTGTTCTGTTGACTAGAATCACCTAATTTGATTCCTGTTTCCACGATGACATAAAAAAATTAGAATATAAATTGAAGCTAATGAGATTCTTCTTTCTGCCTCACTGAATTGTTTTCGAGGACACGATAGCCCCGACCAATGTTCCCTACTCGAACCTCGGCGAGCTAAACAGCGTGCCATAATAAAATTGCGTGCGTCCGAACGAGCTAAGATGATACGAGTATCATCTCGACGAGTCAAGGTACCGGTTTAAATAATTGAGGCTCTAATTAACAACATTCTGCCCTGTCACAACAATAACTTAAGAAGGTAACAGGACGGGTATAAAGCCATTCCGAAGAAGGGAACGAAAATTTTGAGAGAAAATGGATTTTAACTCGCGCAAATATACACATCAGTCAACACTTGGAGCCCAAAATGTTTTACATCTTTATATTTTCGGACACACTTTCAATTATGTTTTATAGGGTATATAATATATGCAGTACATTTTATATTGGTTCCAGGATTTGAGGTTTGTTTCTTTTTCAAACCAGTAAAATCTTTATGTGTTTTTGGCAGCTTTTCCAAGCAACTCAATTGATGGTAAGTAAATTGGAATCCTACAAATTGTTCCTCGATAACCTTCATAAAATCCTCAACATTACTAATAACGGTATTTTAAGATTACATTTTGTTACACTATTCCAAGCAACCATTTTTTTAAAAACTTAGGATGTGATGAGAAACCACTATATTCGATTGATTGATGCATAGAAGCACGTGAGATATCCTTCGAAACCCCCTCCCCNAGATCTATAGTTTATTCAAGATATTACTGAAATTATTGTATTCGTTTCATCTATTGAGGGAATTTAAGAGTGCAGACTTTGTCAAAGTTAAGCATCCATCGCCATGATCCAGTTCATGCATGGAGAAATAATAAAAGAGGAGAGAAGGAAAAAAAAACAGAATACAAAATGATAATTATATAAAAAAATAAATAATTGATAATAATACATTGAAAAATATAAATGAAAATAAGAAGGTTGACTACAGTCGGAAAATGTGCACCTCCTATTGCAACGTTGGAAATCGTAGCTCGTATACGTGGTATCTTTTAAAGAAAAGGAAACCAACAACTGTATCGCTCGAATTTTTTTTTGTGAGTATTCTTTACTCCTTGGAAAATTTTCACAGAACATTTCAAAATATTTCCGTTAGATTTCTAGTAAAATAATAAAATGTAACGAAAGATTTCGAAAGGCTGCGATTGAGGTACACATGTTTCGAGCTGAGCCATAGAGAAGTGTAGACGGATAAAAGATCAACTTAAAAACACAAACTAAAAATAAGAGCGAAAGGAGAGGATTGGTCTTACCGGCACTTGTTCTAGACTTGTTTCTGGAGGTTGCCGTCGACGATTTAACTAACTGATTAGATGAGTTTTGATGTTTGAACATGGGGACAGGTGAGTGGTGGTGGTAGGGATAGGAATAGGAATCGAGTTGGTAAGGCGGATAGGAACTAGAGCTACTGGGAGAGGCGGTCCCAGACGAGGAGTTAGTACCTTCTCGTTGCTTTGAGGAGCCCGAGTTGAGCATGGGTTTCATATCACATGAGCCAGTCTGTTCGGGGTGAAGGAATACACCGACACCGACGCCCATCGAGGCAGCGTGGGCGATCGCGTTCGTGTACTCGTTCGACGTCGAGGAAGTTGACGTGTTGATCGTCGACGCAGCCGTGACGCTGTCCGGCGTCGCGTCCTTCGGGGGCGTCGGGGGGAAGCTGAACATGGGGTGCGTCGATGAGGTCGACGAGGAGGACGTCGCAGGGGCCGAGGAAGTGCCCCCGCCCCCGCTCCCGCCTCCACCGCCGCCGCCGCCTCCGCCTCCCCCGCTCCCCGAATGACTACTCGTGAGCCCCGAATGACTTTGGCTGTTCCCCGTCGGCGATTTTATGCTCGGGAACTCGTTCGAGCTGTTGAACGGTGAGCACCAACTCGAGTCCTGGTGGTGCTGCTGTTTCGTGTCGTTGCTCAGCCACGAGTGGAGCGAGCCGTGGTGCGCATGCGCGAAGTGGGGTGGCGGCCGACATACCTGCCTCGCTGCCGCTGAAACATTCAGAACAAATAACATCCCGTCAGTATCCAAATTATTCGTGCTCCAAAAACAAAACAAAACCAAAAAAACCAAAACTAAATGATTAATTGGACGTAATTCTGTTAAACGGAACTAAGCGCCAAATTGAGTTCCTTTTGAGGATTTTAGAATCCCGGATAGCGCCATGGAAACGCATTGCGAGTATAGGACGGAACATGCATCGCGTTCCGCAACACCCGCCAATCCAAGCCCCCCTCTCCCTTCCTCCCCCGATGGCGCTTAGCACCGTTTGATAGAAATGCGTCCAATTGATGAAATTAATCAAATAATAAAAAATAAGGCGCATCAATTGTGATAGCCGCTCTCAAAATTGAAATTTCCGTTCTCGGCATGGGTGAAAAACTGATAGGATTTCAGAAACAAGAGTTGTTTGAGAATTCCAATATTATTTGGTTCAACTGATGACTAGGCAGAGATTGAGGGTACATTTAAAATAATTAGAACAACATTTTATAATGAGAAAATAAAAGTTAATTATGAAGCACATTACGACGAATACGCATAAGCTTTACAAGCCTGCTAAAATTGAAATAATTGCCGTATCAGTTGCACCAGAGTGATTTAAATCCCGATTGAAAATCAGCCCCAAAAACGTCTGTTTATTTTACTTAATTTCCACGTAAAATAATACGCTTGTGGGGTCATTTTGTTTACTAGAAATCACTGTTAGTAAACCTCTGATAAGAACTTGCACGATCTTATAGTAGTATTGTATAGATTGTGCTTGCTGCTAGCAACGTTCCAGTTCTCAGGGTACCTATTTCGTGCAATATATTGGCAACGCGGAAAAGGATACGAAAAAAGAGAACAAAAGCATCGTTCATTGGGCACGAGTTCATTTCACCCTCTGCTCCCTCCGCGGACAACGACTAATGTGGAATCCACATTAATCTAAAAAGTAATTAGTTTCGGAGAAATACTGTAGCCACGTAAATTATTAATGTATAATTTCCAGTGCTACCCCGGACACGGACTAGTTATTTACGGCGAGCGAAAAGAAGGGAAGCAATAAGAAGAAGAAGCTACCGCGGCGAAGGGAATGACACACGACTATAACTCCGGGAGGAACTGTCGAAAATTCGGGGGCAGATAATCCGGCTCGGGTCGGACGGGGGGGGGGGGGNGAGGAGGGGAAAAATGCAACTGGAAGACACCTCGAGAGTGGACGATGGTGAGATAAGAGGACTTGTGCGGACAACTCACCTGCTGGATTTGCACCTGTCCGAAGGAAGTTGTGTATTATGTCAAAAGCTTACACCTGCTTGCAAGGAGTCTAATAAGTTATTACGAGCCTCCGTCCGACTCCGAGAGGCGACCGCGCTTGTGGCGATGTGGCCTCTCCTGCCACCACTGGGTGTCCCCAAAATTGCGGTTGCTTAGCTGGGGTTTTGAGATTTTCTTTAAACCTACCTACGCTTGAAATCTCATTTGAAATGGACTGTGGTATAATGGGAGATCCGAAAGCCCCACATCATCCCTATGAAATGCTGCCTTTTTGGGAAGAGGTCAATCTAAAAGTTGGAGAATCCAAAAAGTCGTATCCTCTGACCTAAGAGCAATCAAAGAAATTTTAAGTCTCCATTTAAATTTTTCAGAAGTTAGAGGGGTAATGCGTGTTGCTGATGGTGTGGGACTTTTGGATCATTCTGTATAAATTTAAAATACCACGCAATTTCATCCAGTGAACGGTTTTCAATTCACGTGAGAAGTTCTAAAAGAGCTTACAATCATAGACGGTTTTGAAGATGCGTTCGATGCAGCCCTAGCCACTCACAGCACTCCTCTGCTTCCAGCACAGAGTGAAATTAATGGCTTTTGTTTCTACTTCCTATAAATCGAATCCTATTCACATTTTAGGAGGTGGTGAGCGTGGGTTGTGAAAATGTTGCGTTTGGAGTTCAAAAAATGTATGTTTGAGAAAAAAAAAACACGTTGATGTAAGAATAATTTGCCATATTGAGGGCAGAAAACTTCCAGATTGTGCTGCATTTGTACACAGTCTTTTAATAATAAGGTAAACCGCTCGTAACTTATCCTTCAAAACAAGGAAAAATATCGAAAAAGATCTTATGATCCAATTTTTGGAATAAACTTGAAAAAAATGGGCCCGCCAAAAATTGTGTCTTTTCGCGTGATCGGTCGCACATGGTTTTAAGTTGCATCGAAAAACTGTGAATTTATATTGCGATCCTCGAAATTTACAATCCTTTCATGCTGGATATACAATCCATGAGCCTTGGAGGCACCCGGTGTCTGGACCTCAGAGAATGTCGAATTTTTCGCGCCCGCGAACAAAAGGCACGGCACGAGCCTCTCGTGTAGAATTCGTTGTCTACCTGACATAAGGGCGTAACTACACTCTGCAATGAACCCTGTCTCCCATACAATTCGATGTTTTTCTGGGCTCATCTCAATGTGTAGTTACGCCCTTATGTCAGCCAAGCGACGAATTAGCGGCAAAGAGACTCGGGAGACTTAATTAATTCATCATTCAGGCTGCCTGAAATTCTGGTGACGATAAGTGGCACCGATCACCGGGGTCTCGCCCCCTCCGAAAGGATGCTTCAAATAGTAGTTCTTATACCACTAAAAACCTAGTTTCATCTACGTTACTTCCTCTCAAGAGAGCCACACTGTTACCCATAACTGGAGTTCCATCCTTGACCCGATAAAATCCGGTGATTCACACACTGGAAAAAAGTAGCTTCGATCCCTCAGGCCCTCAGTCAAGCAAACTGATCTCTTCAGTTCACTAATTCGAAAATTCACACTGGAAAAAACAGTTGCTTGGGCTCTAGTCCAGACTCTTAAAAACATGGACAAGAAAAAATACTCTTGATTCAATCCGATTCTTCCTTGAATCGAAGAGCCAAGTCTCTTGATTTAGTCGAATTTTCATTTTATTCAAACAAAAAAAACGATTGAATCGAGAATTTTTTTTTTTTTTTTTTTTTTTTTTTTTTTTTTTTTGTCAATGTTTTTAACAGTCTGGACTTTAGATCCAAGCGACTTTTTTCCAGTGAAAGATCAGGAGAAGGATTCAAAGTAGAAGATCTTGAACTTCAAATCTGAAATTTGTAAACAATTTCATTAAGGTCTCTAAAGCAATGTTATTCTAGGGCTGAAAAACATTCCCTTATAAAATCTTTAATTTCCAGGAAAGTAATGAACATTTGGCCTCTACATTTTTAGATGCTTTGGATTAAATTGAGGACAAATTCTTTGAAAAATTGAAAGAAATTAAGATACTCATCAATTTTTCTTCTGATTCGTGGTTTATTCAAGGAAATTCGGCAATGCTTGAAGGTGCATACAGCGTTTTTCCTTAGCACGTGGTGATCGTGAACTTAAAATTCCGTCACCAAGTACGCATCTGGGAGGGGGTGTTAGGTGGATCGCGGTTGTCGGTTTGGCCCCGGATCGTAGAGATCTGGGAAGCAGGAGTAGTTTGTCTCAGCACGAACACGAGACAGTCGCACGGGTAATGACAGCGACATTACAGATTGGCTTCCAAGCTCCGGTATCCGGCATTTCGCTGCAAGTGTCGCCCATCCTTCGCCATCCGATCAAACCCAATAAATTATGACCTCAGCGCAGCAGTGACACACCGGCCTCCGTGATTCAAATCGCAGCTTCCACCAATGACGTCACGAGAATCTGTAGTCTTTTCGCGCTGGTTGCCGCTGTGTCGTGAAAACCGCCGAGGCTCTCCTACTCATAAAAAAACGTTTCTCCTTCCCAGGCTTGCAAAATGAACAACAATTCTGCCGCACTACGGAAAAACGGCGTATGAGCCTTCAGACTGACGTTGCCATATTTTCTTCAATAAAAATGAGTTTATTGGGAAAGTTCCTATAATTTTTCTTCAACATTTTCAGATAATTTTGTTCTCAATTTAATTTTACATGTATAAGAGTCGCTCTCACAGCGCTCTCTGGCGCTTTGCGACGCCTAACCGCCACAAAACTCGGTCCTCCTACAACCCATCAAGGAGTTGGCAGACTGTTCATATCTTATAAAACCCCTTGTCGCCACCCTCTCACCGGGTGTCCCCCTCGTCTCCTCCTAGGAGAAACCCAATCAAACAATTGGGCATGCGATCACACAATTTAATCGTGAATATCTAAAAATTTCAAGAAGAAGTAAGCACAATTTTCTTCGAAAATACATATTTGATCCGGACAAATTTGGCAACTCTCGAAAGTTGATATGACGCTTTTCCTTGACAGAATTCATTTTCGTCATTCAATTTGAGCGGTGGGCTTTCCGAGGATGACTCCGTCCGAAAACCTGGATACTGCACTAGGCAGGGCAACGAATTGGCGACGCGGTCTCGCACTTATCCGGAGCCTCCATCCGGTCGGACCGGGTCCTGTAACTGGAACCCGGTCGAATCCAGACTCCTATACATCTCGCGCGGGACAGAAAACGTAGGAACACGAGACTGATTTAATTTAAATAAGCGCTCGGAAACGTGTAATTCTCCTATTCCCGGAGTCACTTTGTCTATCGCGACATGAAACGGTTGTTGCTTGGTCCATGTTCATTCCGAGCTGGTCACTCTTGAAAACGCTCGAAAATCTGTTCTCCCTCGCTCCTGTCTACTCGAGTCTCTCACCCATCTTGGGAGCTTCACCACGCACACTTATCACGGACGGAGAAGGAGCATGTCATAAAGGGTCGTCTCTAATTTACGTAACGCACTTTTTCGGCAGTTTTGACGGGACCGCCCCTCCTGACCCTCAAACGATGACTCTGTTGCGAACATTTGCACTGGAAAAAAAAAACACATTGGATCTAGATTCCAGACTCTTAAAAACGTCGACAAGAAAAAATACTCTGGATTCAATCGGATTTTTGCTGAAATCAAGAACCAAGCCTCCTAATTTGAGCGGATTTCCTTTTGATTTAAGCAAAAATCTGATTGAATCAAGAGTATTTTTTCTTGTCA